AAAAAAAAGCCTCATAAAGGTGAATTAACAACTGAAGACAAAAACTATAACCGTGATATAAATAGTGCAAGAGTCGCTATCGAAAATATAAATCAACGTCTCAAAACGTATGCTATTTCTGGAAGTATATACAGAGGTGATATTGATGATTTTCATAAGATCACTAAGATTACACAGATTGTTTCTGCTTTATGTAATCTTAACTTGATTAAATATCCTATTCGTAAATGAAAATTATAAAAAATTGTTCGTATTTTTCGTTCGACTATTTGATAATAGAACATTATTACTTCTACTATAAGTTCTTTTAGTTTTCTGAATAAAACTTGCTTTATGTTAAAAAATTAGATACGGAGTATTTTAACAGAAAGATAATAAAAAGGTACTTGATGACTCTTGGTCATGGTGAGACATACAGCTCAAACAATGACAAATCATTGGTCTTATATGTGTACTATAAGTGATGAAAAAATCACCCTTTTCGGATGTGCAATTGAACTTAAACAAACGGATAAGAGTTGGAGTATCATACGATCCAACACGCCCATACGTCGTCGGAACTCAAAAGGTTAATTAAGATTAAGTATTTAGTGAATTATTAAAGCTATTTTGATACTTTTCAAGTTTTTCTAAGCGCTCATTGAGAGAGCTTCTTTTCATTTCCGCATATCTCAACTAAACAAACGAATCGAATGCATATATAATATAATAGATTATAACATAGAAATATGTCATTGTTTAGAGTACCTTGTAGTCTATATGATTAATACTTTATGTTTTGTATAAATATTGATAAAAGTCCAATGTTTGGATGTTTTTTCTTTTCTGAATTGCTTTTTTGATCCGTATTGTACTTAAAAACACAACAAAAAAAAACGATAAAGAAGGTTAGATCACATCAACATAATTTCATTAGGGCCAAATTGATTGAATTCTTTTCGTGTTCGACGAATGTCAGTGAAATCTGAGAGGTATGAATCAATTCTACCAATAAATATTTACTTCGATAGGAGAGAAATTAATAAACTGAAGAAGATAGACTCTAATCAATCTATCAGAATGTATTACAACGATGTACAACATGTAATATTTCGAGTTATATTTTAAATTGATATATGGGGTTTTTTACTATGCTTTGAGAAAGTTACAACCTGTTGGCATTTTAATCGTTTTAAGACAAAAATATACAAAAAAAATTAAAAGAAACAATATACTTTTGATTATGCTTTGAAACGATTCTTGTATAGATCTATTCTTTTTCACTATGAAAACGCTTCGTGCATTCAAAGAACGAACGAAGATAATAAATTTCTTTTGTTTTGCTTTTTTACCTAGATAAATATTGTGAAGGACAAATGTTTATTATAAAAGAGTTCGCATGGTGTTTGCTTTTGTTGATTAGATACGTTTGTTTTCTTTATCACTATTTGTTTTGTTTCTTCTTTTTGTCCTTTTGTTATAAGGCAAAATATAAAAAGAACGGCCTATGATTTGATATAATGCATGAGTTCAGTACTTTTTTTTATCATATATATTATAATTAAGGATAATATTTTGCATTGAAAACACTAACTCACATTATTATTCAGTTTTAGTATTAAAAATTCAATAAAAAATAGATGATTAAATACAATAAACAGTAATAGATTATAACAAAGTGAATAGGCTTTATTATTATTCTTTTTTATTTTCATTCAACATTGTAAGACACACACATGACCATAGTCATAATAGATTTTACAGTTTAGTTTTCTTTTTCTTTTCGATCTGTCAATTTTTATAGGTGTACATATGTAAACAAAAGTAACTATGTCAAACAATAGCAATAATAATACAAATGCCAACTGGCAATTTATTCGAGCAGTTGAAGAAGCATTTTTTCTACTTGATCGAGATCATGATCGTTTAGTTAAAGAAGATGATTTTTGTGCAATTGCCAAATCTGTTGGTAAAGCAAAAAAAAATTATTTTGATATGTTTTTTTTTAATCTGTCTTTCTATTAATTAGGTATAGAGTTAGATTCTAATGAAGCATTAAAATTAATTCAAACAACTATTCGTGAACAAACAGATGATCAACTAGATGAAACAGGATTAACAGTTGATCAATATTCAACATTAATGCTTCGTTATGTTGGTTCATCAGAATTAAATGATGAATTACGTCAAACATTTGATGTATTTGATCGAGATCATGATGGATTAATAACACGACAAGATATGGATAAACTTCGATCTGAAAATTCACTTTTTAATCAACTTGATGATGAACAATATGAACTTGTTATTAAAGAACTATTAATTCAAGGAAATAATAATAAGGGACTTGATTTTAATCAATTTGTTCATTTAATGATGCATCAATAGTAGTTTATGTTTGTTTGATTTCTTTTAATGTTTATACACAAGTGACGACATCTTTGTATAATAAAAGAGGTCTTTTTAATCTAGAAAATGATTCGAGTACAAAACAAAAAGACTATTTTCATTCATTCATTTTAATAATATTTGATTAAGATTGAAATAAAAATGGTTGATACATTGATTTTAAAATCAATTAATGGACAAATATTAACAGATAAATTAATCATTTCATGGTTTGATGCCAATGAAATTTTTATTACAAAAAAAGTTTTTTCTAATGATCGATATTCAGTTGAAATTACATTTGTTGATGAAGAAAGTATGAAATTCGATAAAAAAGAAAAGTTTTTTTTTTAAATTTATATTTAAGGAGCTGATATGTTATCTGATTTATTGAAAACTTGTTATAGTGATTATATATCAGTAGAACGTCCTCAAACATTTGTACAATCATTAGATAATTCATTTGATGATGAACGTGTACCATCACCTGTTCATCTTTCTTCAACATCATCGATTTCATCAAGAGTTTCTTGTTTTTCACAACGACTTATTTCATTAGATAAGAAAAAACCTAATAATCAAACGAAACCTACACTTGGTCGTGGACGAGGCATTGATGCTGATCTATTACAAAATGATATATCAATAGAACAACAAATAAGTGAAGATGAAAATGATTCAATAATCAATACTAGTTATAAAACATCACCTAAATCATCAATAACAGATAATAGTAAGTTTTATTTTAATAATTAAAATAAAAAAAAAACAAGAAGATCTTTTTCTTATTTGAAATTTTTAGATATATCGTCAGGATTTGGACGTGGACGAGGTTCTTTTTTCAAATAGATTTTTGTTTTCTTTTTCTCTATGATTTTCTTTTTACTGTATATAATTCATGTTAGTTATGTTATTATATATTCGAATATATAAACTATGAATAGGTTTTTCAAGATGATGAAAACATTTTCACCACGTGCATCGAAATTAACAATTATTCCAGTAGATCGTAAAAGTCTATTGAATGCTATTATTCATTTTGAAAAATCCAATGATCAAATTTCAAATCAACATATTCTTTCACTTAAAGATATATGTACTCGTCGTCTTCTTTTATTTCTTGGTGATGATTGTGAAATATATAAGAACTTTTTATCATCTCAACTTGTTCGATATATTACATATGATTATTTGACAGAAACAAATAATAATCAATATCAATTAATAAATAATAATGAATTTTTTTCCAATACAAAACGATTAGTTTGTCGTGATTGTTCATTGAATGATTTAGGTGCATCAAAATGTCGTCGTCGAAAATGTTTAGCAAATCGTGTACGACAAGTTCTTAATCAATTATCATGTCAAATAATTCCATGGGAAAAACAAGGACAATTTGCTATTCTTGAAAATAATAATAATAATGATGATGATGATGATGATGATGATAATTCAATTGTGTTTATTTATCTTAAGTCAAATTATTCTCGATATGAATCTTCGAAGCAACAACAACAACAACATGGAAAAAAGGATGATCGAAGTTGGATACAAAAACAATTCTATTTACTTGATTTACTTCGTATACTTCATCTCAACATAGCTCGAGGATGATGTCAAATATTATTGGACGATTTCATCAGTAATTTATTAGGAAATGTGAACATTCCTCAGGATATTTTGTTTTTGTTTTTGTTTTTATGAAATGTACGTGATTTTCTTTTATATGATTATTCATAATTATTAGAATAAAAGCTGTTAGCACAATTTCTGTGGGATTAACATGTGAAACACATTGTAGATGTTGCTGCTAATCACATGGACATCGTTTTATTATACCTGTTTTGTGGCGGCGATGCCAATTTCTCTACCCTATATACTTCGAGATTCTTTTTAGATCGTATTTCATAAAATATTATAAAAAACCGATGTTGTTCATCATATTGATGAAGACTTATCATAGAAATGTTTATCTTTTGCACATACAAATGGCCAAGGAGAGTTCATCAGCTTCATACAAAGTCACACTATCTTCCAATTTTTGAAAAAATTCTTTCGATTGGATTAGTACGATCTATTATATAGTGATTTATGCAAAAACATATCGATTTAAGTCATTAAAGTTCTTCTCGAAAATCAATTAACGAAATATTTTAATTCAATAAAGAATAAGTCGAATTATGTTTTCGGTCAGATTGAAAGATGAAATCATGAATGTTTTAACTAAATTCATCATTCTTCATGCTAGATCATTTAAGACTGTTAAAAAACCCAGATTTTATGAATTTCTTCAAATGTGTTCTTGTTGTTGGTCGTATTTTACTCTAATCATCCATTGTTAAGCCATTTGATTTAATTAATGTAGTACGAAACAAGCGTATCTCTAGTTGGTCACGTACGAATTCGACCTACTCTCCAGAATGATAATGAGAAAGACAACTAAACATATTAGATATTAGTGTCTTCCTCTGCAAGACATTCTAATATTATCCTCATTATTGAATTTTGATCTATTGATTGTCTTGTTTTTGTTACTATGAGCATTCATGAATATTTTCCAACGTATAATTCATTAAATTACCACAAGATAAATCTTATTGATTGAATTGAAATCAGCAATTAAAAAAAGATTTTCTTAACAACACAAACAAATTCCTGATTAATATTTCATTCTAGCTTTAAATGCAACGTAATAAAGTTCTTGTCTTTCACATTGTAATTACATGGATACTCCACAACATATAAAATCATGGTGTAATTTTAAAAAAAAGTATCAATTAGTACTTGAGATTTTTCATTATGAAATCGAATAAAAACAATTTAGATGTAGCAAATGTTTCAATGGAACAAAAGGTATGATTCATCAGCTGACGACCTTTAGTATAAATAAATACATCAATAGCATCTGTTGCCATAGCAATAATATTTATGGTTGATACAATTTTTTATTTACATCCAATGACTGTTTATAACATAATCATATAGAAATAGACTTCGACTATATGAAACATATTTTAAAACACGTCTCATATCCTCATATTTTTCTTGATTATAAGAGAGGTTACTGGAATTTATTTAAGTTACCGGATTGATCTGGACTTATTCTATTGATAGTATATAATATATTTTAACTGAAACGAAAAAGAGTCATAATTCTGAAGAGTTAGCTTTCACTCTCAGTTAATCGACGATTGCTAAAGTGTTGTTTTCACACTCATTCTCAGCTAGATACCTATTTTCAATTTAATGTCTTTTATTTGATGATAGCATATACAACAGGATTTATAGAAAAATTCCAATAGATCCTAGAAATTGCTGGACAAAAAATATATATAAATATTTCATAAAAAATTCTAATATAAAGAAAGTAGTATTATTTTTGTTGAAATAGAAAACTAGCTTACATACGAGTATTTATATGAACTAATTATCTTCCTTATACTTAAGAAATAAAGACAAATTATAGTTATGTCTATCTTTTATTTAATTTCAGATAAGAATTATTTCTATCCAATGTAACGAAGACTATTATAACAGAGATGTATGGCTAATGTCAAAAGAAATAGAAAAAAGAACGAGTAGAATAAAAAAAAAAAGAGTAGATGCCCCCGGTGAGGCTCGAACTCACGACATCCGCATTGCTCCGATACTGTGTATAAGTACGGCGCTCTAGTCCAACTGAGCTACGGGGGCCTGTAGAGAAGAAGAAACAAATCATTACTTATTCAGAACATAATGTTAGAGCAATGTATTTGGCTTCACTGATATATAGCATATGTAAATTCATAAATAATGTCAAATTTTTTTCATACAAATGATTTAATTTCTAAAAATTTCGATAATGAAAATTTTTCGCATATTAAATTCAATTTTTTTTTTCTACATCAATTATTCGACAATTAAAGCTACTAGAGAAAATAACAAATGAACTTCTTTGTTGTTTTTTTTTTGAATTAATCATGATTTTATATTGATCTAATAAATATGACATATGTCTTCATATAGCTACTTTTTCATTATGTTTTCATACAAGAATTTCATCTAAAATAAAAAATTAAATAGAAAGATAATTTATTTTTGAGTTTATTCTTTTAGATAAATACGAAATATATCTTGAAAACTTTAGAGAAAAAAAACATCAATGACTTTAATATTATAAAAATATCTTGAGACAAAAAAAAAATACAAAACTATTCATAAATTTGACAAAAATAGTCAAAATGAAGTTCAATTTTATTTCGCTCTATTAAAAGATCAAAAGAATATCAACAATTAAAATTTTTTTTCCGTGGAACGTCACAAGATGAATATTTTTAGCTATTCTTTTTACTTCTGCTTTGCCTTCAAATTTTTTTAAAATATCTCATTATAAAAAAGCGCTGTCGTTATATGAAAATGAACTGATTCAACTTAGTTTTCATTGTAATCTATCATTCGAAATATTAAAAAATTGATTGAAATTCAGAATTAGATTTAGGTTGAATTTATATAGATATGGAAGTACATATAGTAATATTTTGAAAATTTACCAGATGAAAATATCTCTGGTAGATAAATGATGAGAAACGAATGAGAAGTAACATGTGTACTATAGTTTGTTTTAGAGGTATCTTTGTACAGAAAAATGACAAAAACTTAAATACTTGTTTTTTTCAAAAGATATGTCATCGAATTGTTTAGAATAACTATATGAGAAAAGTATTTTGATTTATATTTTGATGAATTTTTAGGAAATTAAAAGGAATTATACATGAAAAATTGCTATTGTTTATTGGATTAGAAGTATAGAAAACATCTTTAATAATATCGATTTTGCATTTCTCACTGCACAAATATGTCATAACAACCTTGTATTCACTAATGAGCTGTATACAATGAATTTAATTTCGACAATAAATACATTATTTCTAAATCGTTTAAACTACTATTTTAGTGAGGAAATAATAATATATCGTATATCTTTCTTTTTAACTCTTTCAAAATCATTTAACTTAATTCAA